ACAGACAGACAGACAAACAAACAGACAGACGCGAAACTTTTTGATCATCACTGGAGTAATAGGCTTCGCTATCGCTCAGCCAATTAGGTATTCAAGTTAATTTGCTGGCTTTTCCAACACCATCTGAGATATGAGACAAAAGTTACTAGCTTTTAAGAGTATTCAAGAGATTGGTACTGTAAAATTTACTGAAGCCAAACCTTTTGTGGGATTTTCATCCCCATGTCGGGTTTTAATGTTAGTACATTAGAACGCGAGAGTTGACAACAAACCTTAAACCAGTTTGTGCATTGAAATTTTTAAAGAAAGACCAATTATGAGGAAAAGTTAAGGTTTTCAGGGCCTTAGTTGACTCCTTAAATTCTAGTTAAGCTAGGAAAGGTGTTTATTAGTAAAGAGATTAAAAAGGAAAGTGTTCACAAACATCGGCTTCTATGACTTTCCAACTTCACCCTTTAAAGTCCCGCAGTCCGGGTTCAACCCGAGCTGGGGCGAAAGGTGTGTGTGAGTATCTTGGGGGGGGGGGGGGGCAGGGTCAGCTTGTCGGGGCCCTGCTCGTCACCGCCTCCCACTCTCCACGGCGGCGGCAGCTCCGTCTCGTCCGGGTCTCGTCCTCGTCAGTCTTCGAGTGCTAGTGACGGACTAAAGATGGATACCTGTGAGCAGGCCGCAGGCTGCCAGCCGTCGTATGCGCCCCAATTTGTAAGTATTTTCCCGAAAACTTATTTCGATGGACACGTGACGGCCTCTTCCCCTCCTTCTTTTTGGGTGTGTAGCAAATCCGTAGAGCACGTCTTTTTGGCCAAACCTCACACTTTCAGATAGCCGTGAAACCTTTCAGCAGCTATCACACCGCATGCGTTGCGTATTTTGTGTTTCTTCAAAGAAACAAGAAGCAGCTCGATTGCTCTGATGACATAAGACTTCACAGTCGTTGCACAGTTTGATGCCTGGCTGGCGGCCACATTCTGCCCGCCGACACCACTTCCTGGACGCACGTTAGATTTTCTCCTCGTTCCGTTACAGAGCACTGCCGTGGGGCGTTTGCCGGACGAGGTGCTGCTGATGGTGATGCAGTACCTGGACGTGGAGGACCTCCTCAGCTGCCGCCTCGTGTGCAAGAGATCTGCGGCCCTGGCCGTGGACCCAGCCGTGTGGCGGCATCGAGATCGTGGCGAGGATGACGCCTTAAGGTGTGCGGTGCTACGCCTGGCGCCGTGCCTCAACTCACTGTGCGTGGATGCCCCGACGAGGAAATGCCACCGTCGCCGAATTCTCCGAACCAAATGTGCCTTGGGCGAACTAACTGTGACCGTATTGGCCAATTCAGGTATACAGCAAACTGTCGATGTGATCCGCAATCAGGAGGCTCTTGGCCGCTTGAGGGTTGTGAACATAATGATACTTATGTTTCCGCTTCGTCTTGCCGCTGCCACCACGCTGTTGGAGACTTTGTCATCAATATCGGGCCTGGAGGAGCTGAGCATTGGCTGCTACGATTGCGGCATACCTGAGAAGACCAGACCTGTTCTACGTAGCGTCTCCAGACCATCTCTTAAGGCCGTCAAGTTCGAGTGGTCGAGAGAAGAGGGGTGCAAAGTAGTGCAGGCGATGAAGGACGTCTGCAGGTTCCTGCTGACGGAGCACGCCGCCACCCTGGAGCGAGTTGAGTTTGAAGGGGAACCAATCTTGGCGCGGCCCGCGTCCCTGCTGGCCGGCATGCCTAACCTGCGAGTGCTGAACTGCGAGGCCTTTCCTGGAATGAAGTCCTTGAGCGCGTCGCTCACGAATCTCGAACTGCACGTGACGCCAGAGACAGTGGGCCCGGACACCAGGCAGTTCCTCCGTCGCGGCGAGCAGCTGCGCGATGTCACCCTGGGGTTCGGTTCTCCTGGTGAAGACGACGACCACGACAGCACCTGGCAGCCCACCACGGCCGGAGTGGACCTAGTCGTGGACCTGGCCTCGTCCGGGCGTCCCAGCCTGGAGAGTCTGTACATCACAAACATGGGACGATACTTTCCACAGGCGCAGTCGCTGGTGCGCGCGCTGCCCTTTTTGACGTCCCTGAGGTACTTGCACGTGGAGAGGGCGCCGGACGAGCTGCTGCTGGGCATCACTCCGACCACGGCCCCGGCCCTGCAGCACCTCGAGGTGGGCGAGAGTAACTGGGGCTGCACCCACGCCTGGCTGCACAGGAAGGTGGCCAAGAAGCTTCTGTCGCTGAACCCATCGCTGCACGTGTCTTTAGCTGTCGAGCGCGCCCTTCATAATCCCGCGTGCAGTTACTGCAAGGTATGTCGTGTATACGACTGCCACCCCCGGCTGTGCAAGTTTCGTGCCGTATTTTTTACTCACGATCCTGAAGACAAATGTTCATTGCCTGAGATACACCAAGGTGACTCTTGCTACCACGTCTCGAATGTATCAGCGTTAGAAGAAACCACTGCGGCCGTGCATCACGGCATGCGTTGGAGGGATTTGGCGGGCCGGTACACAACATAACATGCAGTCGATGTAATTTATGTCATTTCAGACTTTCGTCTTTATCACCTTGGAGTATTTAAGTCATTTAAAGTCCATTGTATTTTAGTTCAAAGTTAAATACATTAAAGGAAAACAAGGAAATATTCTTGGTAGATTTCACAGCATCCCACACCCCAATATTTTGCAGGAGCACTCACTACGGAGGGAAAATGCAGCATATTTCGACGGAGGGCGTGGTGATGGTACAGAGGATTACCGACCGAGAAACCAGGGCCTTCAGCACATAGGGCTCGCACAAAATGTCTCCCTCCCGCCGGTCGGAGACAGGCAGCGGGTAGAGGGAGGGATCAGCAGGTATGGGAGGGGTACAGTGAGGGGGGTCGGCGCTGGGCTGGGCTACCCCTACGCCACACGACGCCACGCTCCCCGCCCGACCAGGGACACTTGGCGACTTTGGTGCAAGGTTGGCGATTCTGGGCGACCAGAGTTTCCTGCTATCTGACCCACCCCGCCTGCGGTTGCGTATTTCCCCCACAACGCGTCAGCGCCTGGCTGCTGGCGGTACAGCCGGGGCGGACCCAGAATAGAATTACCAGAAAATTTCCCACCTCAGGCGATGGCGATTCGGAATTACTGTGGGCAATTTTTGCGCGACGCTAGCACGGAAGTGGCGATTCCAGGCAGCTATATGGGATCGGCAGCTCACGACTTTTGGCGACTCGAGCGCCGCCTGGTGGCGACTCGACTCATTCCGCACCTCACAGCGCTGGTCGCGCCCGAGGTAACGCCAGTAGTAGTCAGGCTTGCCAGATGTGGCGATCTGTCGCCAAAGTGGCGATCTGACGTCGGATTTGGCGACGAGAATTTCCCGAGTGGCGACGGGCGACGGAGGTGGCGACCTGGGTCCCCGAGTGGCGACAAAGTGGCGATTTGACCTGCCGAGTGGCGATTTGTGGCGATTTGGCGGCCAACAGGCTACCTGCTTCAGGACACTGGGTTTTTCTCGCCGCCCTGGGGCGTGGAGGGCGTGAGCGCGTCACTGAGGGGAGGGATTTCCCCTCCTCTGTTTACATACAGGGCCGGCCTGACTGCCTGTACCGGTGATTAAAGCGACAAAGGTGCCGAACTGAGCGACGATTTAAACCTCGGCGCCCTAGAAGGTGGCGATAAGAGTGGCGACTCGGCGCTCCAGGTGGCGACGAGTGGCGATCTGAGTCGGTGGCGACGGGTGGCGATCTGAGCGCGCCCTCGTGGCGACTTGGCGCGGTCGGGACCTGGCAAGCCTGGTAGTAGTCCAGGCCCACACGCCGGCCGAGCAGGCTGGGACAGTACAGCGCACAGGAGGCTCGACCAGCACACCGCTCACTCTCAGTCAACAGTCTTCGAGTGCCAGTGACGGACTGAAGATGGATATCAGTGATCAGGCCCGAGGTTGCCAGTCGTCGGATCCGCTCGAATTGGTACGTATTATACGTGTTGCATCGAAAACGTTTCTAATAACGTATTTCGACTTTCTCATTTTTTTCGTGTGTGTGTGTGTGTGTGTGTGTGTGTGTGTGCGTGTGCGTGTGCGCGCGCTCGTGCGTGAAGTGAATCCGGATAACACATGTTCGCCCAGCCCTGTTGAACACTTTTAGTCTGCGCACTGCGCGGCGGTGAGACCTTTGCCTGTCGCCCCGCCTGCAATCCAGTAAAGCTAAAATACAGAATAATGCCAGGAAGAAATAAACGGAAATCACTATGCTTAACATGGTTACTTGTTGGTTTCTCTTGTTCCATGCGTTTCAGCTGTACCGGAATGCTTTCTTGCGTGCCTTGTCTTGTGTCATTTCAAAGAAAGCGATGTACCTTCTGTAGCTAGTGCTAGTGCCGTCTGTCTCGCGCGCTCGGCCTGCCCGACCGATTGCAAACTCTAGAGTGCACCCTCGCAGAGTCGCGCTCCTGTTCCCCTCCCCGCTTTGCATGGCTTGGTAGCTGGGGGGGGGGGGGGGGTCAGGAACAAAGTGATCGAATAGAACAAATGAACGAAGTGGATGAGCGAACGGGAGCGTCGCGAAGTGCCATAAGAGCAAATGGGGCCCGTTCGTTCACAGCAGCCGTTCGTTCACGCGTTCACCCCCCGTTCGTTCACCAGCCTGGTTCTTGAGCCCCCCCCCCCCCCCCTCCTGCCCTCACTACCTCCTCTCGCAGAGCACCTACCTCCTACCAAGCGTACCCACCCGTCCCCTCACCTGCCTGGGAGAGCACGCCGCCTCGCGAGTAAAGCCTATTACATACGCTGCAGTTTATAACCACAAGGCAGGCTGGTGGTGGGGTGGGAGGCCCTCTCGGAGTCGCACCAGTAGAGACGAGCTGAACCACACGGCGTGACTCTGAGCGGGGGGCAGTGGGAGTGGCCACTCTAGTTTTAGTTGCGGCCACATTACTGACGGTAATCGTTTCTGCTCGTTGTTTCGTTACAGAGCGCCGCCGTGGAGAGTTTGCCGGACGAGGTGCTGCTCATGGTGATGAAGTACCTCGACGTGGGGGACCTCCTCACTTGTCGCCTCGTGTGCAAGAGGTTTGGGGTCCTGGCCATGGACCCGGACGTGTGGTGGCATCGAAATATCGATTGTGATAGAGAGCCTTCTCGGGCGTGCGCGGTGCTGCGTCTGGCGCCGTGGCTCAACTCGCTGACCATGGTGGTTCCCTACAGCTGGTGCAGCGGTTTCCATCTGTACAGTACGAAATGTGCAGTGGCAAGGCTCGATTTAAAGATACAATCCTCCACCCTCTCCGGGTCGTACGACATTAAGCACTACGTCAAAAGTCAATGTGATCTTGGCTATTTAGTGGGGCTACATGTGCACGTGAATACACATCTGGATGCGTTCCCTGCCAGAGAGCTGCTGGACTTGTTGACGTCAACAGCCGACCTAGAGGAATTGAGTATTTGTATAGGTTATGTTGGCTCGTTGCTAACAAAAAGGCCCCATTTGGAAGTCGCCTGCGGCCCTTCTCTGAAGTATTTCGAGCTCGAGTGGCGGGTGTGCGACATTGGGGACCGCCTCCCGCGGCCCATCGAGGACGTCTGCAGGTTCCTGCTGGCCGAGCACGCCACCACCCTGGAGCAAGTCGTGTTTAGACGCACACCAGTCTTCGACCTGCACGAGCTGGCCAGCATGCCCAACCTGCGAGCGCTGCACTGCTCGGCCTTCCCCGGGATGAGGGCCTTGGCAGCGAACGCGTCGCTCAGGGAACTCTACCTGCTCGTGACGCCCGAGACGGTGGGCCCGGACACCAGGGAGTTTCTTCGCGCCGCCAACCAGCTGCGCGACGTCACTCTGGCGTTCTCCACCCTTAAAGACGACGGCAACGACGGCGCTGACAGGGACTACATCTGGCAGCCCACCACGGCTGGAGTGGACCTGGTCCTGGACCTGGTCTCGTCCGGGCGGTCCAGCCTGGAGAGGCTGTGCATCACAAACATTGGTCTATACTTTCCCCAGGAGCAGCCGCTGCTGCGCGCGCTACCCTTGCTGACGTGCCTGCAGCACCTGAAAGTGGATTCGGCGCCTGACGAGCTGCTGCTGGGCATCACTCCAACCACGGCCCCGGCCCTGCAGAGCCTCGTGGTGGACCAGACCAACTGGCCGTGCACCCACGCCTGGCTGCACAGGGAGGTGGTCAAGAAGCTTCTGTCGGTGAACCCATCGCTGCATGTGCATGTAACCACCGAATTTTCAGATTGCGATCCCCCGGAGTCTTACTGCGAGGTATGTTCTGAATATGAATGCCACCCCTGGCTGTGCAAGTCTGAGGCCGTATTTTTTACGCATGATCCCGAAGACAATTGTTCAATGCCTGAGATGCACGACGATAGCGACTCTTGTTGCTACGTGTCTGATGTATCAGCCATAGAAACTACTGTAATCGTTGTCCGAGAAGACGACTGGACTGATTTGCCGTTTGGTAATCCTCACGCAGAATAGAATATATCATGTAGTTAATGAAGTTCCTTAAATTCGATTTTTGTCTCCTCTGTGTATCTCAATTGTTCTCCAAGTCAGTGCTAAATACATCATATAATAAAAAGAGATTTTGTTTAGATAGATTTCACATCATCCATACATTTCGCAGCAGTACAGCAGAATGAAAACGAAGAAAAACTCGATCACGGTTTAGAGACACTGAACTCGACGAAGGGACTGTGGGTGGTGCAGAGAATTATTACCGAGACACCACACGAGGGCCTTCAGCGCACACCACTAGAACTAATTTTCTCGCGGAGGGAACGGGTAGAGCGGGGTAAGAGGGGGGGGGGGGGGCAGTCCAGACTGTACTGGGCAAGGACCGCTCGGGCCGGGAGTTGCCGAGCACCCGTCGGTGGGAACGCGCTGGTGGGAACCAAGCCAAGCCACTCCATGCCCAACCGGGGTGGTTTCCCCGAGCGCCCCTCCGCCTGCCTTTCGATTCGGGCACCGGGCTTGCCGGGGTGTTTCCGATCCCCCGTCGGTACGCTGTACCTCAGGCCCGGGCCAGGCCCACAGCACGGAACACACAGTGTGTGCTCCGTGACCCACAGGCCGGTAGGAGGGGTGCAGGGGCAGGGGCAGGGGCAGGCAGCAGCAGCAGGCTGACAACACTCACTCACTCTCAGTCGAGTCGTCAGTCTTCGAGTGCCAGTGACGGGCTAAAGATGGATACCAGTGAGCAAGCCGGGGCCGGAGGTTGCCAGTTGCCGGATACGCTCGAATCGGTATGTATTGTCGCCTTTGTTTTCATTATTTTAAGTAGGCGGTGAGTCCGGAAAAAGTATATTTGGCCAGAACTGCTCGAAGTTCTCAGTCCGCGCATTGCGTCAAGGCCTAACGGCTATCATCCCGACCGTCCCGCGTACAAAATTTGTGTCGCTTCAGTTAAGTCAATAAATTCTCGATCCCAAATAAGGGCTTCCGACTTAAGCTCTATTGCTTCTCAGTTTGATGCTTGGAGGGCTCTTTCTACACTACAACTGACTGACTCTGCTGGTGTCATTACAGAGCTCAGCTTTGGCGCGTTTGCCGGACGAGGTTCTGCTCCTGGTGATGCAGTATTTGGACGTGGAGGACCTCTTCCGATGCCGTCTCGTGTGCAAGAGGCTCGCGGGCCTGGCCCTGGACCCGGACGCGTGGCAGCACCGGAACCTCAGTGACGAGCACCCGTGGGCGTGTGCGGTGCTGCGCCTGGCGCCGTGTCTGAAGTCATTGGTCATGTTGGCCCCTTCGACCATGGCGTGCCACATGCTGGCCCTGTCCCGGACCAAGTGTGCCGCAGCAAAGCTCCTTTTTAGCTTACAAAGTGGTTACGGAGTGACGCAAATGGAAGAGGTGATCCGCCACCAGGAGGCACTCGGCCGTTTGAAGGGCCTGCATGTCTCCATTACGCCAATTATGGATGGTGCTACTGCCACCAAGCTGCTGGACGTTGTGACGTCAATTCCTGCCCTAGAGGAGTTGAGCCTTTACATACTCACTCTTTCGATACCTTTAACGGCCAGGCCCGCTTTACGCAGCGTCTCCGGCCCATCTCTAAAGAATTTTGTGCTCGAATGGGAGGCCGGCCATGGTACCGGTCTACCGCAGCCCATCGAGGACGTCTCCAGGTTCCTGCTGGCCGAGCACGCCGCCACCCTGGAGCGAATTGAATTTGAGAGCAACGCGGGCGTCATCAAGCCGCCCGCGTCCCTGCTGGCCAGCATGCCCAACCTGCGGGTGCTCAACTGCTCGCCCTTCCCCGGGATGAGGGCCTTGGCAGCGAGCGAGTCTCTGAGGGACCTCTGCCTCGTCGTGAAGCCCGCGACGGTGACCACGGACACCAGGGAGTTCCTCCGCGGCGCCGGAAATCTGCGCGTCATCGACATGACGTTCTCTTCCATAGGCGAAAACTGCACCTGGACGCCCACGACAGCCGGAGTGGATCTGGTCGAGGACCTAGCTTCGACCGTGGAAGAGCTGAGCATCTCAAACGAGGCCGAGGCCACCGCCAGGTGTCTCCCGCAGGTGCAGCCGCTGCTGCGCGCGCTGCCCACGCTGACGTGCCTGCGCAACCTGTTCCTGGAGGTGGCGCCCGACGAGCTGCTGGCCGCCATCACTCCGACCACGGCCCCGGCCCTGCAGTGGCTCTCGGTGACCAACTCGGACTGGGGCTGCACCCACGCCTGGCTGCACAGGGGGGTGGTCAAGAAGCTCCTGTCGGAGAACCCTTCGCTGCATGTGCAGGTACGAGCCGACGAGGCCTCCGCCCCATGCAGGGAAAACCCCTGCGAGACGTGTGAGTACGACTGCCACATGGACCTGTGCGAGTTTGAATCCATCTTATTCACGCATGACCCTCACGACAGTTGTGCGGTGAAAGTTCACGCGAGTATCTTTTGTTACTATATATCTGATGTATCAACCATAGAGAGTGACACTGTGAATGCAGAACTAGGCTGGAGTGATTTAGACATGGTACAGGGGGCGCAAGCGAATATGTTCGAGTAGTAATTTTACCAAAGAAAATATTTCGGCGGGACAAGAATACATATCGTATAATTCAACCCACTCAGAAAATGTGTAGACGAGGTAATTTCTAACTTTCGTTTTAGTCTTCTCCTTTGAGTAGTGTACTGTATTTTTCAGTTTCAGACTTAAATACATGATATGAAAAAAATATTTGCAATAGATTTCAAAGCACCCATACATTCCATTTTGCAGCAGTATACATCAGAATGCACATGCAGCCCGATAGCAAGGTGTGCGGGTGGCACAGCGGATTACCGAGCCTATTCATTCCAACGCAAGACGTTTATTACACCACAACCGTGTTTTCCTAAATAGAAAATGCAAAATGCAAAATGCAAAAAAAAGACGACCTTCACTGAGCAATACCCACGCCCGCCCAAAGGCCATTTATTTTTTCCAAAGCCAACTAGTAAAGTCATAAATACATTTTTTTTCCTTCTGCGCGTCGCGCGCGAATCCGACGCGACGCGGGCGGGGCGGCGCGGGGCGGGTGGGCTCGTCCGAGGGGCTAAGTTAATACATCCCCTGCAAAGGGGGTGGCCTACTGTACTGTACACCCGTGGCGTGGCGTGGCGCGGCGCGGCGCTCATTGGCTGCATTATGAGGAGCCTCGCCGCGCTACTGTACCCCGCGCGGAGCGAGCAGCTCGCTCGGCGGCGAATCCCCTCCGGAGATGAAGGTGAGTCACATGTGGCAGCAGCAGCAGCAGCAGCCAAACAACCCCGCCGCTCCGCGCGCCGCGCCGCGGGGCTTGGCCGGGGCCCAGGGGACGAGGTATTAACTTACACAGTACAAAGCCGTCTGTTTGCTCGATGCACCAGACCAGCAGGGGAGCAGAGCAGGATCGCGCGGGCTTGGTAGTCGGCTCAGCTCAGCGCCGAGCACACCACCTGAGGCACACACCACACACGGTCCAGCCCGCGGCTGAGCCGGCAGCACCCCCCCCCCCCCCCCTTCCCCCTCGAACTGACCCCGACGATACGTCCATGGTATAGTCGATTTGGGCCTTGATGACCACATCCAGCCGATCAAGCGCGTCGTCGTCGTTAGACCAGCAGCGGTCGGGGCCAAAAGCCCGCGCACGTGCTCCACGGCGGGAAGGGGAGGGGGAGGAGGGGGGCGAGGGGAGGGAGCGATGACCCGTGAAATAGTGGCGCTGGTGTAACTGCAATGGGAGCAGCACCTGATGGCTCGGCTCCCCCAGTGCGCCGCCCCGCTGCAGCGACACACGCGTCACGGATCGGCGGCGGCGGCTCGCCGGCCTGCATCAAGATGACCTCATTCCACGACGACAGTGGGTGTGGGGTGGGGTCGTCGGGGAGGTGAGGAGGTGCGGGCGGAGGAGGACAGAGGCAGAGGAAAAGGGGTGACGCGACGCGCATTGTTGGGAGGGAGCGAGAAAGACGTCGTATACTGTACTTTAAGATTTTTGTGAAAACAGGGTGGCCTTAATTAATAAGTCCGGAAACGCAAGGTAGATCACACAGTCATTTCGGTTTTCGTTAGCTTCAAAGGGTGAAAAGCAGTAACTTTAAAAATCACATGTTGAGCCCGTTTACCCGCACCAACCTGGCATCGACTTTTGTTCCTGCCAGCATGGCGAGCGAATGCGGGCAGCTGGGCCACCCCGGTCCAAACCATATTGATTCACTTATTTATACAGTGCCAACTACACATAGTGCCGGCCTTTTCATTTAGTCTTATGGTCCTCGAACGGCAATCGGCATAATGCGACATTGGCAAAGCCCAAGAGGGTTAATAAAAAGGCAAGCCTCCCCGCACGGGTCGGGACCCGCCGGGGCGGTAGGCAAAAGCAACGCGCCTGTAAGTAGGCAACTTTATCGACCCCCCGCGCAGACGGGCGAGAGGCACAGGCTGTGTCCCCAGGAGGCCACCGGGTCGCGCGCGCGCAACAGCGAGGGGAGGGAAGCGGCTCCACTACACTACTATACAGTACATAAAGTGGATTGCATACACACACAGGAGGAGCCAGCAGCGCGCTCTCAGAGGACCGCGTCGGTCGGTAAAGCAATCGAATCTCGAGAAATGAAGAACACACAATGCGGATTATATTCGTTCGCACGCCGCTGCGCTGCACTCCCCGCGGGCACTATACCACAGCTGTACTCTATACTACTGTTGCCGCGCTTCTCCTTGACGCACCGGACCGTGAGATGAGAAATTCGACGGGCGGGTGGGTTTCGTTTGCTTTCATTATCTCTCACTTGCTGCTGCTGCTGCTGCGGGGAACCAAAATAACCACGCGCGCACAGTCGCGATACGAAACTATTGTGTCCGCCTCGTGAAATTAAAACCCCCCGCGCGCAAGTAAACAGAGGCGCCCGCGAGCTGCTGCTCCCCTTAAAGGGATCGTGCCGAAAACACGCAACTTTAGGGGTAGGGGGATCGAAATATTACGAGGTATCAAATGGTTCAGAATGTGAATGGCCATTGGAGTCCATAAAAACTCCATGATATTTTTACCCCGGGGTAAAAAGACCACGAGGTTGCCATAATATTGCCCCCCCCTCTAAAGTGACGTGGTTTGGGCACGATCCCTCTAAGAGGAAGCCATGCTGCTGGTGGTGCTTCTTCTCCTGCCGGCGACGGCCCGACGGCAGCGTCCCTCCCCGGGGGACACCGCGGGGGACCACACCACTACTGGAGGACCTGTCGACTTGCCACCACGGTGATCCGGTTACTCGCGAGGAGCCCGGCGACGAGCTCGGCGAGGAGGAGGAGGAGGGGATTACCGCCGGCCGGCTCACGCGTGGCCGCGGGGGATGAATATTCCATGAGGGGCGCCGGCCTCATCAGGCGGGGTGGCCGTCGAGCAGAGGCGTCGAGGAGACGCCGCGGCCGGCGGAGGACGACGCGGAGGGCGGAGGGAGGGGAGGGGAGAGGAAGGGAGGGAGGAGAGGAGGGAG